CAGAGACAGAGGGACGGGCAGGCAGGGGCAGACTGTCCCTGGGCTCCAGAGACAGAGGGACAGGCAGGCAGGGGCAGGCTGTCCCTGGGCTCTAGTCTCACACACAGACACACGTTTGTGCTCCAGTCTTCATGGGAGTCTTCCGTTGACTCTCAGCCTGCTGTTATTTACTATTCCGCTCAAAGCAAACTGCACACCAGGGTGACAATAGACCCACTTTCAAAAGAGGGCTCCCCACGGCTCAGAAAAACGGTCATTTACGTTGTCGGGGGTATTATCTCTGTGGGAGCATGTTCTGGGGTCCAGACAAATGGACCCTGTCCTTGCGGCGGGGGACGTTTACGAGGAGCACCTCTGACTCCCGCTCGGCTGTGGGCTGGGGTTGCCACAGGTCCACGCTTGATTTTTTTTTCAGGATTGAATTTAATAGGGATTTCTGACAAGGTGGTTATGACTAGTCCTGTGGACACAACGCTGCACTCTGTGTGTAGACACCCAGACATGCGGCTGTGGACCTCGAGCAGTTTGGGTTTGCTGATTGTGTTCGTCCTTGACGTGTTCGTCCTTGAAGTTGTCGTCCTTGACGTGTGCGTATGCAGTGAGCAGAGGACAAGCGCCCGGGCTCTGCAGCAATGAGGGGTGCTCCGGGCTCAGGCCGCCCAGCTGTGAATCTGGAGCTGCCAGTGGCTCTGTGGAGCCATCACAGGCCTTGCACTGAGATTGAAATAATGAGTTATCAGCGCCCTGCTTTGGCAGGGATTTAGTCTTAATGACCGGCTAGAGTTTCTCAGTTTTAAGCCAGTATGTCCAAGGTGCTAATCAAGCAGAAAGCTATGTGCTCCAAGATCTCTGGAGTCACACCGGGTGTGGGATTAAATCTGCTTCTCTGCTGACACAGCAACTGAATTTAAACATCATATCTATCGGCTTGGTTTCTTGGCAATCCAGTGTCACACACCCCGCACAACAAGAGAATGCTTTAGAACCTGGCAGGTGCTTATTCTCAATCTCCCTGTGATTCCAGTGCAAAGTTAAAACGTTTCCCTGTGATTTTCACATCGATCAGGGAACATGTGTGATCACTGATATCGCATAAAATCACAGATACTCTTCACTTAGCTCGAACGAGAATCGACTCTCCACTCCACACAGACCTTCATGCTCCTGCAGAAGATAAACCTTCACAACACTTACAGGAGGAGCAACGTCTAAATCTCTTCATTGGACATTAAATAAAGTGATTAAATCATTACTTAAAAATGCTTTGTTGTAAATGTTGTAGACTGTGAAGAGTAGTAGACTTGCCATAGCTAAAGTAAGACCAGGTTTCTGAATAACTTTCGCTATATTACCGTTATTCTAACCCGGGATTCTGCTCCGTGCTTTATTTCAGAGGGGTCCGCCAGGTGAACAGGGTCCACCCGGCCCCCCAGGCCCCTCAGGAACCCCCGGATCCGATGGCATTGACGTGAGTAAACACAGGCAGGCTGCCTCTCAGAGCCGGACAAAGACGGCCATTGTCCGGCCGGGCTTCCTGAGCGAAACCTCTGAGCCGCAGTACCGCGGTGCCGCCAGCAGAGGGGGCGCTGCCCTGAACTGTTGCCGCACACAAAGAGCTCAGTGAGCTTCGGGAGACGGGACGCCTTTTAACATCCTCGCATGTGCGGCGGGTTACTGATCTGGTCCCGGAGCGGCACGACAGTGTGTGTAACTAGGCTTCAGAATCGTATCTTGTCTTTCTTTTATAAATAATGCCTTCGTAGATGGAATAATGGCGCAATGGGTGTTTTCAGATCAGCTTTGCAATCGCGTTTTCCTGCATCAACCACAAAACTGTTTCGCAGATATGCTAATTACTGCCTACAATTCTTAACTAATTTGTTAGATAGAATTTCAAAGCCTCTCTGATGAGTTCAGAAGTCATGCTTCAATCCTGCTTTTAAACAACAACAATAAAAAACTTTATTTTATATAGCTCCTATAAAGGTGGCTTCTCAAAGATAAAAGAACACACAACACATGCACAATGAGAGGAGACCGTAGAGGGGGCAGTGAATACAGAGGAGCAGAGGGGTAAAGAACAGAACAGTTCAGTAAAGGCTCTTCTGAAGAAGAAGGTTTTGAGTCTGGATTTGAAGGAGTTTAGGGAAGGTGACTCTCTGATATCCTTAGGGATAGAGTTCCAGAGCTTTAGAGTTCAGCAGAAGTTTCCATACAATGTAGACGGGCTTGGGAGACAGGAGACCAGAATTAGAAGAGCGAAGGTTGCAAGGTGGGGAGTAGGGCGTTAGTAGCACAGACAGGAACTGAGGTGCCAAGCCAAGTCGACATGAAACTTGACAGGAAGCCAGTGCAAGGGCTCCAGGATAGGAGTGATGTGATCACTTGCTCTGGAACTGGTCAGGATTCTGGCTGCCGAATTGTGGACACACTGGAGTTTGTTCAATGTAGATTTAGATGCCCCAGTGAGTAGAGTGTTTTAGTAGTCAATCTGAGAGAAGACAAATGTGTTGATCAGCCACAGTTAGCTATATCATTGGACGCAGTCTGGTGATGTTTCTAGGGTGAAAGAATGATGTTTTGACAATATGTTGCACATGTGGGTGGAATGTCAAGTCTGAATCAAATATCACCCCCAAGTTTTTCAATTTAGACTGAAGCTCAAGTACAGAACCATCCACAGATAGGGCTACAGCACTGGCTCTACAGAGTTGATGGTGGGTGCCAGTAAGCATGACTTCAGTCTTGTCACAGTTTAGATGAAGGAAATTTGGAGTCATCCATGTTTTTATGTCAGAGATGCAATTAAAGAGAATAGAGCCATATCAGTGTCAGGTCTACTGCTAGGCACTGGTCAATCGGGAAATAGGCTGTGTTATTAACAACTTCAAACCAGCAGAAACAACAGTGAACTTGGAAGAACCAGGTGTGTGAACAGCCCCTGTGTTTCCAGACCTGGTCCCGAGGAGCTGGTCTGGCAAACTGTTAATTAGCAAAGTCATCAAAGAGCAGAGCTGCCCTTCAGGTCAGGACTGGGGACCCCTGCTCCAGACCCCGGCTTTATGGGAGGGATGGGTGGAATTCTGGCAACAAAGCTGTGTGGCCTGAAAGAGGGGTGACAGTCAAAGAGGAGTGACCTGGAAAGGGGCGTGGCCCCGGGAGACATGTGACCTTCAGATGGGGGTGTGGCCTCTAGGGGCGTGGCGCCGACAGAGAGAGTGACACCAGCTGTTCGTCTGGATTCTTTCTATCAGAAAAAAACATTCCCACGCTAACCTCAGGAGGTTACAGTATCATCAACCTCACAGCTTTAACCACCTCCCCACAGAGGGCACGCTGCCTGCACGAGTACACGAGTCTGGACTCTGAAAGGTGTGAACCAGCTCTGACCCAGACCACTGGGCTCCTCCCCTGTGTCAGTGACAACCCTAAACTGAGCCACCATCCAAACTTCATTTCCCTCACCCTTGATTGTCTGCGGCTGTCAAAAAACCGCATCCTTTCAGCCGCAGTTATTTGCGTGTGAAATAGTGACCCTGAAGAGAGGTGGCACTGTCTGAAGATCTAGGGACAGACTGCTGTAAACACACACAATTAGTATTTTCATTCCTGCCTGTTGAGGGTCTTTCTGCCCTCGCTGGTGATAGGCACTCTCTATAGATGAGGGAGGTTAAGGTACATCTGTCACAGGTGTTGAGCTCTTTTAAACTGTTGAAACACCACCAGGCCCAGCAAGAGCACGGGGTGAAAAAGCCTTGTGAGCCAGTTCTTCAGCTTGCCCTCTGTCCTTCAGTGTCTACTCACCCCTACTGTGCACACAGGCGGGTCAGCTCACTCTTCTGTAGTAATCTAAAAACTGTAAGGAAGTCTCAAACTAAATCAATCTCATCCGGGGATCAATGTTCTGATTGTAAATAAGAATGGGTTAGCGTCTCGCACTGATACACACCACACCACTGGAACAGCCTGCAGGGCTCTGACGTACACTGTCCCACCAGCCCTGCAAACTCACCTCGCTGCTGATGATCCTCCCTGCAGCCACTGTTAACACCCCTCGCTGACCGGGCCCTCGCTGACCGGGCCCTCGCTGACCAGACCCTCACTGACCGTGCTCACGCTGACCGTGCTCACGCTGACCGTGCTCACGCTGACCGGGCCCTCGCTGACCGGGCCCTCGCTGGCTGTGCCCTCGCTGACCGTGCTCACGCTGACCGGACCCTCACTGACCGGTCCCTCACTGATCCCGCTCCTCTCCTGTCTTGCAGGGTGACAAAGGACCTCCTGGCCCGACCGGCCCCGCAGTGAGTATAGTCACAGCTCCGCCTGGACATCCAGACCACACACGGGCCGGCAGCTCTCTCTCTCTCCTGAGGAGGGCGCTACGGGCCTCTTCCTTCTCCCCAGCATTAGGATGGCAAAGTCTGTTCATTGCAAATGTCTGGGAAGTCAGGTGCTGTCCGCCCATGCGCCCCTCCAGACGTGGGTGATCTCTTCACCTCTCCCCGATGTTCTGTGTTGCTTTCAGGGTGCCAAGGGGGAGCCGGGCGAGCCGGGCCCTGATGGACCCCCGGGGGAGCCTGGCATTGATGTGAGTCTGGGGTGCTGGGGGGAACGGGAGGGGCATCAGTCATGGAGGGTGCTGTGGATTTTGACCAGTTATCAGCTGGTGATAATCGTAGAAGAACTTAAGGTGGACTGACACTAGTTTCAGAGTTTTAGAGCCAATTAGACTTTGAAGTAACATTCTGGAGGGATTTGTGTGCTGATCTGTCTGTCATTGTTCTGTGGCGCTGGCTTGTGACCCGAGTTTCTCCAGACCCTGCGTGGTCTCTTATACCACTGGGAAGATGAGTAAGGGCAAGAGAAGGACAGAGACGGAGGGGGGGACAGAAGCTGAAGGTCTGGGACACTGCGGAGGAAACCGATGGAAGTTCTGCTTGGACAAGAAAGCAGTAGTCAAATCCAGCTGAGACCTTGACATGAGAAATGCGGACAGGCCGATCCAGTGACCAGGCTGTGTCTGACCACTCTCACTGACCACTCTCTGTGTGGGACTGCTCTTTACAGGGCCTGATTGGAGCCAAAGGAGACAGAGGCCCCGCGGGAAACCCTGGACCTAAGGTACGGACACCCCAGGAGTGCAGTCCCCTTCTTCACCACTCTGCGCTTCGTTATTCAGATGGCCTCATTGTGTCCTCAATAAGCCAAGATGAGGGCTGGCTGGTGTGTGCGAGCCTGCAGCAGGAGCAGGCTGGACCTGTGCTCTGTGTTTATCAGATGCTATAGCAGCTGCTGGAAACCTGTGACTCATTTCTCCTTTTCTCCCACGGTGATCACAGGGACAACCAGGACCCATTGGGAAACCAGGACCCACTGTAAGTATGAGTTAATGAACAGCGAGCAGATGGACCCGCAGGGCCTAGAATAAACTCAGGTCGCCCACTAAGGGAAACAGAAATGAACCCAATGTGGGTACAGCCCTCTACAAGGCGATGTATTACTGACCACCCAACTGTGATCCAGTTAAATGGGTACCAAGGGGTACCTATAGTTTCTTCTCATTAATTGATTTGCTGATGCTTTTATTTAAAGCAACTTACATTTGTATACCGTTTATACCACTAAGTGTCTTACTGAAGCGATCTGAGTACAGTAATTTGCTCAAGGGTTCAACAGCAAGTGGGATTTGAGCCTGCAACCTTTCAGTTACAAGTGCATAGTTGCGATCACTGCTTCACAGTGCCGCCTTATTTATTTGTGTCTGAAAGCGCTGGGAAATGCCACTCTGAAAGATAAGCATTTATGAAGAAATTAAAAAGCTCTGCTCAAAAATAAGACAGCCAAAGAGTTCACATTTCTTCCCAGAGCAGTGTGATCATGCCTGAAAACAGGTGTCTGGATTCCCTTCTTTAAATACCTCATTGTTTAAATTCACTGTGTTGTAAATGTTCAATGCGCATGTGTGTCTGAAGTGCGGTTCAGTGCAAGCCTGTCTGTAAACTGGGCTTCTCCCGGGCCTCTCCACAGGGACCCGGACTGCCCGGCCTGCCTGTGAGTACTGAGAACCTTCCCGGACACCCAGAATCACACCGGACACCCCCAAGGGCTACAGGGTCACATGGTTTCAAGACACCCCTGAATTTCTCCTAGCCTGGGTCGGGCCTGCTGGTTAATTCTGATTAATCTGGCTTGTGCCTTCCATGAGAACTGGGTGCCCTCATTGCCAGAACCCTGCAGCTGTCTATTAAAGTATTAGTTGAATAACGAACCTCAAAGGAGATGTACAGTGCTGTACCAGTGCAGCAGGGCCAGTTACTGCTGGCCAGAGACAGCAATAACACTGGGGCTTTCCTCCAGAGGAGAGGTGCAGGTGAGGAGGTGCTCTTCACACTCGGGCAGGTGTTCAGGGGGAATGGGTGTGAGTCAGGATACAGGTAAGAGTACACCTGTCTGCGTGCAGACCCTAGAGCCCCTGACATCTGTAGCTCAGGGGCGGCTACAGCTGTGGGTGCAGACTGTCATAGAGAAGAGAGTCCTCAGAATGAGCCCCTTGACACCAGTTAGACACTACTGTGCTTATTCCCCTGCAATGTCCTGCTCTTCGCAATGAGGGGGGCAGAGGCTGTATTCGCGGGCGGTACATCAGGGCTCGTCTTTGTCTTCTTCTTCCTCCAGGGGCCTGCTGGTCCAATCGGACTGCCCGGCGAAATCGGCCTGCAAGGAATCAAGGTGAGAGGAGAGCGCCCCCTGCCTGTGAGATGTTCTGTGCTACTTTAAATGTACAGTAGTTTATCCAGTGCTAAGATAAGATAAGACTTATTTTATTACCACAAGTGCAATAGGCAAAGCCAGCCAGTCCGGGCCCGTGGTATAGGAGACTCCCTGACCTAGTCTGGCAGGTCCTCGAATTGCTCAGCGAATGAACACTCCTTACAAGTCCAGGATGAGCAACAGGCACGATCTGTGCAAAGTGCTTGTGAACATGTAGGACAAGGTAGCAAGTCTGCGTTCCAGCTGAAGTACTAAACTCCTTCAAGTGATCTCACAGACCCTAATTCCCATTAACCCTAGAGCATCCATTGCTAATGTTCACTAATGTGGCCGTTTTCACATTTATCCTGTGTCATTCTTCATTAACAGTGCATCTACTGTGCACTGTGCAACAACCCTTAAACTCAAAACAGAAGATTCTTAGACCCTTATCAGCATACATTTCAGATCAGAACTGATCATTTCAGTAAGCGAGTCCTGGACTAGAGCTAATCAGGTGCTGTGGTGCTTTTACACCACTGACCACTGGCCCGGTCAGTGACAGGTTTGGGGTTACGGCCAGTGACAGGGGCTCCTGGACAGAGAGTTGATGGCCATCTCCTGCTTTCTTACAGGGTCTGCTGGGACCAGCTGGAGCACCAGGGCTGCCTGGTCCCCCAGGAAAACCAGTAAGTTAATAAATTCACAGTCCAGTGACGGTGGGCTGAGGCCCACCTCATGGTGCCCCCATGTTAAAGGTCAAAGGGTGTAGGGGCGCTGTCCCTTTGTCAAAGCTTTGAGCACCATCCTTGACTGGTACAGGCTGTGCATTGAGTATAATCTAGAAGAGCACTAATAATAATAATAATAATAATAATAATAATAATAATAATTATATAAGTTTTGCAAAGATCAAAGTGCTGTACAGTAGTGGACATATAAAAGTAAAACTCACACAGAAAATCAACCCAGGCAAGTTCTGTATGTCAATACTCACAGACTCACAGGGTGAAAGACGACGCCCTTGTGTTGCTCCCAACATGGGCTTCAGATGACAACACAGGGTTAACTGTAGCACCAAGGGTCCTAACAGCACAGCTAGTAAACAGCAAACTATTGAATCAGGGCTTCCTCAGGGAGAAGCTGACACTGAAATCTTTCCTTGGCACACATAAGAGTTGAATCCAGGACATCAGCGAGCCCTGGACGTCTCAGTGAGTCACATCTATGTCATTGCTCCTCTCCTCTCCTTCTGCACAGGGACCTCCGGGAAAATTCACTGGAGAAGAGGGCAGTGCTGACTTCCAGGTGAGACACCCCTGTCTGGGCCAGCCCTCTGGTGGTTCTCTGGGCTGCAGGCTTTTCCCCCTTGGGCCTGGGGCTGTTAACAGTGCCCTGGGGAGGCTGTACTGTTACCACTTGTCAGGGGTAACACAAACCTCAACTATATTCATTTCAGGTCAACACAGCTCTTTGGCGCAATGCTCTGCTGGATAATTTAATTGCGTATCAAATAATGTAATAATCGGAAAATTCTGTAATCGACCCCCTGAGCCCCAGCCGACACGTCAAGCTGCGCAGGATTCTGGAAAAAGCCAGGCTGAAGTCGCCTGAGCCGAGCCCCAGCCTGACAGCTGCAGCCGCTGAGCACGGAGACCAAGGCGAACAGCGAGCTCTCCAGGCCCTTCACCGCTCATCGGCTCTGTCTTCCTGCCCAAGGAAGAAGGGTGTCAGAACTCCCACCCCACGAAAACAAAGTGGGAGGCCGGCAGAGTTTCTCAGAATCAGTTTCGATTCATTTAATAAAGTCTTTCTCCTTTTCACAGTGCCCAACCAACTGTCCTGCAGGAGCAAAGGGCCCTCAGGGACTCCAGGGGGTGAAGGTGGGTTTGCCTTTTTGTTGCTTTTTTCTCTTTTATAATTTAGAAAACAAGAAAAGGAAAAAAAACAGTGGGCCTGTGGTCTTTTCTTCGAGAATTATGTTTCTGTTTCTGTCTGGCTTGATGAGCGCTCCACGGTCACCAGTCTGCTCTCAACACGAGTGAATGGTTTCTGACTGTCTTGCTCCTCCTCCACACAGGGGCACAAGGGGCGGCCCGGCGTCCTCGGTGAGCCAGGAAGCATGGGCAAGACGGTACGTGAGGGAATAACCCTGCCTCTGCAAGTCTGCTGCCCCCTGCTGGCCGGCAGGCAGCTGTGCACATCACACGAACTGCGCTTACAGTACATTAGCCTGTGCAGCCCTCCCTCCCCCACTCAACCACTCGGCTGCTACTCCAGCCGAAGCCTTCTCCCTGACACGACCTCATCTTAGCCCAGCAGAACAGTCACCTCTTGCACAGCAGGTACCTGCTACCCTGAGGGCCACGTGGGGTTCTGGGTACCCATAGTGCATGGCCACCATGACCATGGCAACAACAGAGCACTGCAGGAAGTGGAAAGCGGCTGGAGACAGAGGTGCACTGTGCACCCTGTTCACACCCAGATTACGCCTCAGGGAGCACCTTTTGCTCATCTTTGCAAACAGAATCTTATCAGAAACAACACCAGACACTAATCCTCATCCTTGCTGTGATAACACACAGCCAGCAGATAGAGTGAAGCTCAGAAAGGAAATACAGACCAGGGAAGGTGATTCATTGCGAAGAATTCTGGACATTGAGCTGCCTTGGCAACGCACAGCCAGCTGCACACGGGCCACGTTGGTGTCTGTCTGCTCATTACTGGACATGGCATGTTGACATGAATGGATTATAGTTAATTAGTCCCCTCCTGTGGGTAACTGGCACTAATTAGCGTGTGATTTGTCAGCCTTGGCTATAGTGGAATAATTTTAACCCGATGAGGCAGGGCTGCAGCATGACAGGGAACAGTCAGCTACTCTGTCCAACATAATTAGACTTAATAAGAACAGGCCAAAGCAATAGGTGTGATTCGATAGGAAGGCACTATGCATAATGGTCCTTAGGAGTTTCTAACAGCGACTGCATTCGGATTAGTCTGCACTAAATCAGAAGGATAAGGTTCCTTCAGCCATCCTTTGGAAAGGTGAACCACGAAGTTACACTGATGGTCACGCTAAAGAGAGTTGGTCCAGCTCTCCGCTGTACCTGAAGCTCCTGAGCAGCTCTGTTGCGATGATGAAGATGTCATGAAAGCACAGTACAGGTTACAAGAGAGATGTGCCCATTCAGTCCATGAAACTTGTTTGGTTCCTATTAGGTTATCAATCCAAGGATCACATCTGTCTATTTCTTGAAGGACAACAGACCCTCTGCTTCAGCTTGGTCCACTATCCCATGATCCTCTGTGTAAAGACCTGCCTCCTTAGTGGGGCCGTGTTGGTCTTGGTCTTCATCTGGTATAAGGACAGTGTTGATACACACTGATAAGACATTACACAGCCCGGACAATCTCCAAAACCCATGATCACATAACAGCATGAGAGCTCATCGGTTTCAGGACACTGATTCAGTCACAGAGTTAAACTGAGCTTGTTTAAAAACCCAGCGTCTTAGTCCCCAGAATGAACGTTGGCGTGGATATTTCTCTGTGTTCAAGACAGGTGCTCTGCAGAGCCAGTGTACAGGTACGGCATGTGCATCAGCAGGAAGTGGACACTGCTGGTGTTGCCACTGAGCTGTAGGAAACAGGTTCCGTGTCTGCAATAGAGCATCACGCAGGCATGAGACTCCCACACTAGGAACGGACAGTGGGAGGGCTGTCACTACGAGAGGGACACTACTGGACACAGAGAAACACACTTGTGCACTGCGCCACTCCAACTGTCCTGTGGGGGAGGTCTTTCTCTGGTAGGGCCACCCGTGGTGTCAACAGGGCGCCAGCCTCCTTGCGTGTCTCCTGACTCCTGTCCCTCTGTCCCTCTGTCCCTCGCAGGGTTCCGGGGGAGAAGCTGGAATCTCGGGGGAGCAGGGAATCCCAGGCCCTCCAGTAACGTATTTATTTCTGCTCCACTTGTCTCTCCTGTATTTCTCAGTGCTGCAATGATTTCTTTTGCAATGTCTTGACGTGTAAGTCAGTCTTCTGACTCTCGCTCTCTGGATTTCGAAAGGGCCCGCGGGGGGTGAGAGGCTACCCAGGGATGGTTGGTCCCAAAGGAGAAGCGGTAAGTATCCCTGACAGTCAGTGAAACACGGAGAGCACAGCTCAGCCGTCTGTAGGACCCATCCTGTAGCAGAGGGTTCAGTTCCCTCACAGCAGGGTCTACACTTCCCCTATAGCAGAGGGTACA